ATAAACAATAATAATGTCGAAGTTGTTCATGTTGCAAATAAGTTTTTAAACGAAAATTATTCGAACAAGTCTCGTATAATATCATATCCTATTTTATATCTCGCCGTCTGATTCCCTATATAGAACGTATAGACGACTGTTAAAATATATTAAATTTTATAATCGGCCAAACAGAAGCTTGCGTTTTTTTTTTTATTATATATTACGTACTAATGTATATTAATGTATTATTCATACTAGTTATTACTGACTGTTAATTGTGAACTGTTCCACACGGAGAATACGTAGTAATACTTATATTATTCGCGTTTTATACCATAACAATTATTATAGAGACATTTACGTCCGTCCACCTAAGAAACTGCAATTTTTGTTGCATTGAATATATTTGCGGCCCTCAAAAGGGCCTTTTAATCATAATCAATAAAATAAAAGAAAAATACGGATGTGCGTATGATTTTACATATAACGCAACATCCTACTTCCTTTTATCATTGGTAATATAACCCGCACCGCCGCCGCTAGTGTTCTTTTGTTCACCATCTTAAGCCTTCTTCTCTGTCTTCTTTGGCAAGAGGACGGCCTGAATGTTAGGTAGCACACCGCCCTGTGCGATGGTTACTCCAGAGAGAAGTTTATTCAATTCCTCGTCGTTACGGATGGCGAGCTGTAGATGTCTGGGAATGATTCTAGTCTTCTTGTTGTCGCGAGCCGCGTTGCCGGCCAACTCGAGAACTTCAGCGGCGAGATATTCCATTACCGCAGCGAGATAGACGGGGGCACCGGCACCAACACGCTCTGCGTAATTCCCCTTACGCAGCAATCTGTGAATACGGCCGACCGGAAACTGTAGACCGGCACGATTCGAACGGGACTTTGCCTTTCCCTTCACTTTGCCACCTTTACCGCGTCCAGACATATTTAATATTACCAGTTGAAGTAAGAAAAGAAATTAATTAAAAAAACGTACAATTAGTACGAAGTACGCGCACGAAAGTTGACAAGTTCCGTATAGTAGCGACCGTATTGGGTTTTTTTCAAATTTATACCCACACGAACAACCAACGCGCAGGGGGGTTTAAGCAGCACATGCCGTGTAAATCGAATCAATATATTTTGTAGAATCGGAAAATCGAGGAATAGATTACGTTCGTATTTATAACAGTTGTTATTAAAAAAATATAACATAACGAGAGCATAATTTCGTAATAATTTCTATTGGTTAATTAGGTTAGTATTGCTAGCTAGTAATGAACAAATATTGTAAATTGCTCCCTTGTTATAATATATAACACTAATGATGTTATTATTATTATTAACCAATAATATAATTATTATACGTTCAATTTAGTAATTAATAGATTGGATATAGAAAGACGACGAAATTGACGATGACGACGTTTGTTCGCCTTATACTTCTAGAAACTTAGTTATGTAATTTGAATTATCTGTTAGCCCTGAAAAGGGCTTTTTATAAAGGGTGCATCTTGAATCTCCCGACACTCGCTCGAGATAAATCAATTTGCGTTAACCTTTAATCCAGGTGAACAACACCACACACAGCACCACTGGCCGAAATCGGCATCGCGGCACGCACGGCACGGTGGGGTGCGGCGTTGAACCGCGTTAAGATCATTCGCGCATCATTATTTTTTAGCAGAGGCCTTTTTAGATGCGGCGGCAGCCGGCTTAGACTTAGGAGTCGTCGCCTTCTTAGGTTTAGGCGCTTTAGGTTTCTTCGTCGGTGGCTTGGCGCTCTTTTTAGCTTTCGGCGCAGCATTTTTAGCCTTAGAAACGCCACCGCTCTGAGCTCCAGCGGACTTTCTGGCGGAGGCTGCGGCGGGCTTCTTTTTAGCGGCAGCCGCTTTCTTGTCCTTGACTGCGGCGGAAGGTTTCGTCTTTGAGGGCGACGCGGCAGCGGCAGAAGCGGCCTTCTTAGCTTTGCCCGCGACGGCGGCAGTCGCGGCGCCCTTCTTCGCTTTCGCAGCTGCAGATC